GGTGTTAAGCAGGTGCGCGCCTTTCTGGGCACAGCAGGATGGCTTAGAGAGTATATCCCGAATTTTGCAGAGATGGCTGCACCATTAACTGACCTTATAGACAAAAAGAGAAAGTTTTCCTGGAGTAAGGAAGCGCAGGAAAGTTTTCAAAACATCAAAGAAGCTGTCTCACAGCCCTTAGAATTGGCACGTCCAAACCCCGACTTTCCGTATGGCCTTCAGACTGACGCCAGTCATATTGGCATAGGCGCAGTGCTTTTCCAGATGGATCCCCAAGGTACCAGAAGAATTATTGCCTATAGTAGCGCCAAGTTAAACGCCACTGAAAGAAAATACCACGTTAACGAGACGGAATGCCTCGCGGTGGTGTGGGCGATAAAAAAATATAAGCACTATCTCCAAGACGGAAAGTTTACCCTGTTCACCGATAACTCAGCTTTGCTATGGCTGGATAAAATGAAAGACGAGAAGGCCAAGCTGACGCGTTGGTCTTTGCTTCTTCAAGAATATGACTTTAAGGTAGAGCATATCCCGGGTAAGAGGAATCAGTTACCTGATTTCTTATCTCGAAATCCGAATCAGACACAAACCAATATGGACCTCGACACGGACGTGGAGAGAATGTTCTTTCCCCACAGAGAACCTGAGACACACAGCGAAATTGAGGATGAAATCTTGCTCCAGCTCGCAGACGAGCTGGGTGAGCTGTTCAATGTGTGTGACTAAGTTTGTGTAATAGCCAGTGACCCCGAGTCGTTGAACCAGATGCAGACTTGGTTCGAGGAGGTCGCTGAACTACAACGCACAAGTGATAGTGTGAGGCGGTTTAGGATTCGGATAGAGAGGGCTCGAGCGAACCCCGATCCAACAGAATATGAACAGAGGATCCTACATGACTTCCGGATGGAAAACGATTTATTATATTATATAGGACCTAACCAGGATGCCAAGAGACTATTAGTCCCCAGGCGCTGCTGGGACAAACTAATAAAGCGCTATCATGACCAAGCCAGACCGTCCCTGGCAGATGGTGTCGGTCGATGTCCTTGGCCCTTATAAACCTACGGAAAAGGGTAATAGATATATAATGATGGCTACGGATTGTTTTAGCAAGTGGGTGGAATTCCGCACGGCGGAATCTGTTCAGTCTGCTACAGTGGTAGAGTTTCTTGCGCAAGAAGTATGCTATCGTTGGGGATTTCCGGAGACGGTTATAACAGACAGTGCCGCGATGTTCCTAGGCAGAAACTGGGAGCAGTTTTGCCAAAAGCATGAAATTATTATGCGAACAAGCCCGGGATACCATCAGCAGGCAAACCCTGTGGAAAGGCGAGTCCAAGAGTTGAAAAAGATGTTGCGAGCTGCCTTGATAGGCAGAGACGAGTCGTACTGGGAGCGATGCCTCCCAGAAATCATCTTCAATTTGCGAACCCGAACTAATGCGGCGTCTAATGTTACTCCTTGCCAACTCTTGCTAAGTTATGAATTACCTCGGCCTGGCGATTGGGACACCCCTCTACAAAGGAAGCGAAGGCCTTTGAACGAGAACCGTGCCCAACGCATAGAGGAAGCCCAGCAGAGTTCCCGTGATATCGAAGTAAGCGATTTCCTGACAAGGATAAGGTGCCCAACGTTACGTTCGCACCAGACCAGTGGGTGTTGTGCAGAAACTACGATCGCAAAGCTCGCAAGAATTTTGGCCCAACCTGGACTACCCCTTGTCAAGTCCGAAGGCAACTCGGCCCCAGCACTTACATCGTAAACAAAGGTGGTATAGATCGGGTCATCCACGTGGACGACTTGAGACCCGCTCCATCTCCACGTGAAGGTCAAGAGCATCTTGACCCGCGTTCTGTAAATAATGAAGAATTAGCTTAGAATTAAGTTAGATAAGATCTCTCATGTAGTTATGTGGTTGCCAGTAGAGCCTGAAAGGAGAGACAGGCAGGGAAACTGAGCAACGTATTCTGTATCGTTTAGTTAAGTATTAGATAAGGGGGTTGAAATATTGTAACTTTAGCAAGTAAGGACCTATTGTGAAAACTGTTGAGATTTTGTTGATTTTTACCCTAATAAAGAACACTTCTCGGTCTCTATTCAAAGAAATTGCAAGCGACGAAATCCATGTTTTTCTCATGGACCACTATATGTTGTATTTTCACGTGTAGGGAAACCGTCGAATCAATTTGTGTTAACTAAAGACAGGTTAACCGAAAATATTGTGCACCGATTAGTGCTAAATTAAATTGAAATCAAAAGTATTTATAATTCAAAATAATAAATATTATTGTTAAAGATTTAAGACTTTCTGCCCTACCTACCTCATTTATAAGTTTGAGTGTCACATGTTATTTACAAACAACTTTGTAATATACTCATTTGTCACAAAATTGAAAGAAAATAATAATACATTTCGAAATCAATTCTTTTGTATTGATTTTTGCTCAATTTCAACTGTATGAGAATTTTAATCAATCGTGTTCAAAGATAATGGTACTTTTCTGATACTGGTATTTTTCATTTGACTTCATCACAACCAATTATTTTTGAAAGAAAATTCGGATAATTCCAGAAATGAAATAAAATATGTCAATGATTGTCAAATATTTCACCCTTTTTTGCTATGTTATTTGCCGTCTTTGGTTTCAAACTTGTGATAAAATTTCTTAGGCGTTTTTCATTTTATTGTTACTATAATATTAAATCTGAACTCATTTTGGAATTATCACTGATACACAAACTTGCATAAGTAGTCACGAATATAAATAGGAATTGAAACTAAATAAACATGAGAAATTTCAAGATTCATTAAATCCTCAGAGTGAACGAAAAAAATTAAATCATTGTTATTTGCGAAATTTGTTTATTGCGAAAATAGTTTTACGAAAACGCATCAAGTGTTTCGCTGTACAATAGCTTCTTTATAGCAGGGAAGCCCACGATGCAAAATTGGGATTTACTACGCTCGAGAATGTCGAAATGACGCTATTTTTTTACAACTTTGCTGCCCTCCCCTTTCTTTACGTCACTCTCAAATTGCCAGGTTACTGGAATATACACTTTTTAGCAGGTAATCAACTCGCCCTACCTTAATCCGACGCGCTCGAGAATTTCTGGTGATCAGTTGTTTTTTACTAATCTGATCCTTTATCCCCCACAGACTGCCTTATATATGGGGCTCATATTTGGTGGAGGTACTCAACCGGGTATAAGGTATCCCCCTGTATATTAATCTGCCACGCTTCAGTAGATCCCAAAATCCCTGCTTGGGCTCCCCTATTATTAGGCGTGTCTTCACCAACTGAAATATACATTTTCTATGCTTCATACAGGGTTTTTATCAAATAGACGGCAAAAAATTATTGGACTATTCCTTTGGACTATTCTGAGGATACTTTTTCCTTTGATGATATTTGATATGGCGCTTTGTTTCGAAGATAAGGGGCAAAAAATAATTTCAAAAATGATAATTTTGATGATTTTGAACTCATCAACGAAGCCGGAATAAAAGAGAAGTGTACTACAGTGGACCTACCAATTTCGTTGGAACCTATCAACAACATTCCGATTGCTACAAACGGCTGCAAATATTCAATTTAGACGTGATGTCTCATAATCTGACAACTATTCAGAGGGATTCACTTAATCTGATAAAAACAATATTGTTTTTAATTTTTGTTTAATTCATTGAACTCAATCAGTTGGAAAGCTCAGGAAATAGCATGCAAATAAATAAGTGTATGTTTTTAAGTAGAATACTTGCATTTATGAGAAAATAATTTTAAAAAATGCTCAAAAAAATTTAATTTTTTATAATCAATTGATTAATTAATGAAGAAAAGAGAAATGAAACTTTCTATGTTTTTTACCACTTTTATTTGTAACTAACGTTACTGCAGTTTCGTCCTATAAGGACATTTTCAAACTTATACAATATACTGCAGTTTCGTCCTATGAGGACATTTTCAAACTTATATATTGTATAAGTTTGAAAATATCCTTATAGGAGGAAACTGCAGTAACGTTAGTTATAAATAAAAGTGGTGAAAAACATAGAAAATTCCAATTCTCTACATTAAACTAAAAATGTATAAGTTTGAAAATGTCCTCATAAGACAAAACTGCAGTAACGTTAGTTACAAATAGAAGTGGTAAATGACATAGAATTTTTCAATTTTCTTTTCTGCATTTAGTTTGATTATTATCGACTCTAGTCAATTAACCCACGGGTTAAAACGTAACAATATTGAAGATATTGCTCAAATATTTGAAAAACTTTCATCAGATTCGGAAAAATTGCGCAATACATATATGGTGTATATGTATATTTTGCTTTCAATTGAAGCAAGTATGTTATACTATGTGATGTAACTTAGTTTTTCCCCGAAAGCAGGTCGATTAATAGTAAAACATTTGTACTCGGGCGTTTTCAAGGGGTTGAAAATAATATATTTTTCAAGATCACTTCTGATATAAATTTCAAAATACTAGGTTTCCATTCAAACAACTTCAGTTTCCGAAAATTCTATGCTAAAAAACAAATTACAATAGTCCATAACAAAAAATATATTATTACACCATTCCTTGACAAAGAAAGCAGATACCTGAATTGCATTTTTTTTCAAAACACGCTAGAAAATTTACGGTACATTTGAGGTTTCATCATTCATCAAATTCATTTCGTTCATCGATGGTTTCATTTAATGAAATATCGATTAAGAAATAAAAAGACTCATGTTTCCGTCAACCAACCCTGATGTATAAGGTTCCTTATCATTACAATTTCACTGTACTTTTTAAATTGACTCAGACATCTTGATAGCTCCAAGAAAACAGTAAAACAACGGACGTAGACACGTCATATGACATTTTGGTGTCCTGAAAATCACGATCGGTTATGTTTATTCGTTTTGTTTCAGTAATGAAATTTCAAACTGACACTCGCGCTATCAGATGGTGCGAATAATGATGTCGTTTTTCTCAGTCATTGCGGTTAATAGAAATTGAAACGTGTTAACGGAGTGAAAAATATTCCAGAGAAATTAACAATATTTTTTATATTTTCAGAACAATCGACGATTAACAGTGAAAAATCTAGCGATGTGCAAAGGGACTGAGAATTCACCAATGGTGTGGTATGACATAGCATTGACGCGCAATGAAAAAACCAAAGAATTAGAATTTTCTCTCAAAGTGAATGTTACAGAAGAAGTGAGTCAGGCATTTTCGGTGAGTAAAATATCATAAATTATTCGTTTGTTCGAAATGGAACATGATTTTTTATTTGTCACACTTATTGACTAGATTTGATATCAATACCTGAATTATTGAGTATTCAAATAAGTTCAATTTAGTTTTCTCCATCTGAAGATTGGNCCTTGATGGAGCTTCATCGCCAAAAATTGAATTAAGTTCATCCATGCACTGTTGCTGAGTTAATCCACGTCGAAATTTGTAAAAAATAATCGCACGGAAATGTTCACATTTCAATTTCATTTTTGGGCCGAGATAAATCTTTTAGGCTACTGTAAACAACACAAATAGCGCGCGTATGTAAAAACGTTCTGAGTACGTATAAGCTCAAAAATGTACAACTTTACGATAGAGCTGTCAGTTGTCAGATTGCAATACTAGGGTTGCCAAATCCCGAAACATAAAAGGCAACCCTCGAAACATAAACAAGATTTGTTAGCAAAACCTAAAAAAAAAATAATGCCTGCTTTTTTGTACAAATTTTAGAGCTGGCACAATTCACTTGAAAAAATAATAAATTCGATAGCAAGATTTTGAAACCGAACAAAATGTAACACATATAATCTTTGACATCTGAATTTTGAATGTCAAACATGAAAATTGAAGAAATGGAGTCTTCAACAAGTATTTGAAATTTATGTAGCGGACTGCGTCAACCTTTTTCGTTTTCATGTTTTTTCTGGAAACATGAGGATTCATTTTCCGATAGCCTTTTGGAAAGCTTTCGAAATTTCTGCTAACGCAGTTGTCAGTTTTGAAGATTGGTCAAACCACTAACGCTAACATAAAAACTTGACAAGCAATCTTGGGTGTCGCACTAATAAGTGGTCTTGCTTGTGTTCACATAGTGATTTTTACGAAGTACTTGCCTTGGTTTCTCAGTTTATCTTCAATCGAAGATCGCTTGACAGGTGGTGATGATGCTTAAAAGGCTGAAACAGCTTTTTATCGGTGGCTCTTGAATTGAAATTGGTACTCATCTATTGATCTTTTCACTATCATGAAATTTTTTTCTATCATCTCTACTGCAATAACTTCTTTTCTTTTCATAAGTATGGTTCATACATTTTTTTATATAACCACGATTTGGACTGAAATGAATTGAGTTCACCCCGATAAATTACTGCGTTAATTCGAAGTATTCCTTACAAAGAAATTTGTTTTATTCACCTAGCATAACAAGTACTGAATGTTTCATATGAATGCTTTCAATTTATTTTCAATTTCCTTATTTCGCGTTGGATCTGTGCTCAGTATGAAAAACTTTTCCGGCCTTGCTGTTATTGCGAACGCAAATTAAGCATATATTTACGGCTCAGGAAAAAAACAACAATCGATGAATTGTTATATATGTATATGTATATATATATGTATATGTATAT